CATTTGATCTGTGCTAACTATTGTGCTCTGGATTTCTGTTTGTATTGTAGTGCTAGAATATTGATCATGTTATACTATATACGGAGCTGCAATGATTTTGAGAGTTATAAGCATTGTTTTAGCCATGACCCTGGGTAAACTTTAGGTTTGATGTATTAACATTGGAGAACATCTGGTGAGTGTATTTTTGTGTTTGCAATTTAAGTCTTATTTTCACCAGATGCCATCCCCTAGCAACTAAAAGCATTCAATGGTGCTCTCTTACTGGACAGGGGGCTGGCAGTTCGAGGGACTTAGACCTGAAGTTAAGGACATCAAGCCCCTAAAAAAGTTAAACTAGATTCATAAAGATGCAAATAAAAGGGTTGCCTGGCTAACAAAGGTAATATCAGTTTTTAGGGTGTCTTCTCCCCAGCAAGACTTCTATGTGCTTAGTAATGCTTACATATCCACCATATGTTGAAGTGCAGAGTGTGGGGAAGCATCTCTGTGCTCCGCATTTTTTTTTGTCCCAACCCATTGCCTGATTTATTTTCCTGATTTAAATAGCATGGTACGTTCCCTAAGGCAAGCCATCTGTAGTAATGGAGGACTCCTTTGTGTGACACCTATTGTCCCAATTTTCTTCCATTTTTGTTAATGCTTCCATCTTTCTATTTTTAGAAACTGATTTTAGTTTTTTTCAGTTTTATGTGATAAAAGTATGAAAAAAAGATTTTAACCACTTGCTGTCCGGAGCAAATTCTTACTGTTTGCACACACATGATATAATCTTAATTTTTGGCTAGAAAATAGCTCCAGACACCAAAAAATATATATATATTTTCTGGAAGAAGAGGCCCTGTAGAATATAAAAATGCTAGTTGCAATTTTTTATGTTGCATGGTATTTGCACAAATGTTTATCAAACCAGTATTTTTAGGATGACATACACTAAAATTAAAGTTAGTGCACAGAAACAGAATATAATACCCAATGTTTTGGTAAAATATGAAAGACAGGGTCACATCGGGTAAATAGATACCAAACATGCCAAGCCTTAAAATTGCGTTTGCCCGTGAAGCCCCAAAAAACTACAATACCCAACATTTCCCATAGCGGACAATTAACAAGTTTCATCAGTTTAGTGCTAACAGTGATTGATGGCCCTAGAATAATTACTCTTATTACTTGTAAATTGGCCCTGGAATTATTACTCTCATTCCAATGTTTGCAGCGAGATGTAACATGTGTAGCACAATTTTAGTTTTTGCATGTAGGTGCACCGATGCGTGTTTACATATGTATGTGCGTGCATGTGGGGGGGCGGTAGACTTTTTAAAAAAAATTGCATTTTCTTATTTTCTTATATGTGACTTAATTTTTTTAATTTTGTAAAACATTTTTCTTTTTTTACACTAACCTTATTGCTATCACATAGGAGGCTAACAAACCCCTTATGTAATAGCAGATAGGGTGTGACAGGTCCTCTTTATGGAGACATCAGGGGTCTTTCAGAACCTTAAGGTCACCTAGAGACCCCAAAGATCTGCTTACCCAGCTTCTTCTCTTGGCTATGCATGCAGTTTATGTATTTGCTTTGCTTTCATACCAATATGCTCATTACTAAAATGAAAGAGCCTTTTAGGTTTCTTGATCTGTTTACATAGAACAGCAAACATATAGTTAGCTGTTTCACACAAAGCAACCTTTTAGGGTTGCTGATCATTTTCAGTACTACAACAAACATACCTTTCTCTCGGCTTGATCTGCATCAATTAATAAATGTAGGAAAATACAGTGTGAGGTAGAAAATTGACAAAAATAAGTCTCATCTAAAAGAAGGCTCATGGCATAATTGCAGGACTTGAATAGCTGTAAAGGGTCTTGTAGCCTTAACTTTTATCTCTTCGAGCTTATATTGATATCTAGTACTACTGGCACTGAAAAGTTGTTTCTGAGAATTCCCTATGACTGTAATTACATACTTTCAGTAAACCTGATGATGTGCAAGCAGCCCATTCTTCTATTAATACAGCAGATCATTTTCCAAATCCAAAAATCAGCCTGATGGCAAATGTACTTTTTCTCTAAGTTTTTTTTTAGTTTTTTGCCTTATTTCCTGATTATCATCAACTTCCACATCTCTTGAACTTTCTAGCCTCATTGCCTAATTAGAAATCTACCCAAATCATTGTGTGTTCTGCATGGATTAAGCAAGGGTTACAACCTCTGTACAGATAAATGTCCAACACATAAATGTTATAAAGAAAAAATGATTAGTAAAGAAAGAGATGCTAAAAATGTAGTAATTTGATTAATCATTTATTTTAGAAGTATCTAAATAAATACAAGTATTAATAGACAACAAAATGATTAGCTTGATGATATTTTTGTTAGAATGCAGGCCCATGTGTGATTGTTTCTGGTTGTTCTCAGTTTTATTTTCTGGACAAAGATTTTATTCTTTAAAATACTCAAATGCATTTTTTATATTTTGTTATTGACGTATGTCATTATATTGAATGTGTGATTATATTGCCCATACAGAAACATTTCAGTGTCAAACATTGATTTTTTTAATGTTAAACTGATTGATATACAGTTGTTGCTCGTATTGCTGTTATTGCATTACTTGTGCAGCTTACAGAAACTTCAAGTATATATATGAGAGCAGAACACTATTATAGTCAAAGAATGTTGAACCTTTTTTATTAGTACTGAACAATGATTAGCAAAATATATATATATGTATATATATATACATATATATATACATATATATATATATACATACA